TCAGCGACTGTCGAATCTTTAGATACGTGAACCTTAAAACACAAATAACTATTTAGTATATACCAATAAATGAGAATGAAAGAATAATGTACCAACCTGGCATAAGAAAAACGTATACACAGGTAACTTTGGCTCTTATATCAAATGTTCATAGATTCTAAAATAACACGACCCTATATAAAAAGTCATTCTTCGCATTACCTATCACAGTTTTTTCGGGTACCAATTCAAGCACCATAGTTAGTGCCAAGAAACTCAGTGTTTCTGTTTTCGTTCCTTAGGAGAAAGGCATTACGAATATACTGAATATTTCTATCTTTCCAGAATCTTACTCTGTTAAATCCGATATGGTTTATTATCCTTTCAAGGAGCACTAACGTGGAAGCAAAACCAAGAAAGTTAAAACATCCTAGAGAGAACAGTCTTACCTTATAGTCAACTTTTATGTAGCGTTTCGCTAGATGAATTTTCTCTTTCTGAACCTTGGCCCACGTGACTTCGAACAGCAGTGGGAACCTTTATTTCCGTATTTGAGGACAGTCTCAGAGTTTTCTCGCCAAAAGGCAAGGCATGAATTATGTGGGTACTGGTGACGTACGACAGAAAATGATCAAGTTTCTCTAGTGCAATGTACATTCTTGTGCCTTTAACATATTTTACGTTCGCGCCTTTGCCGTGGAGTAATAAATGATGTCTAGTTATGTTAAAACGATACCTGGACAAATTAGGTGTCCATCTCTGTAGATCTTTGAAATTCAATTTATCTGCCATAATGGACAAAATCTGCCTCCGAGAGCTCAAATGGTCTGCGTTGTTATAACATTCGGCCAAACATTCCATCAGAGAGGAGTCAATAGCACTTTCCTCAAGCTCTAATTTAACCAGTGAAGACAACACAGTTTCAGTTTCCCCAGGAACAATATCATCCAAGCATGCATTAACAACCTGTCGTACCTTTCTAGTATAAAGCCTTTTTGTCCGCTCGGAAGCTTCTGCCCATGGTGTTTCTAGGGAATGGCGAATTGGACTTATATCTTTTGAAATCAGGAATTTGTTCAACTTCTCCCTTGACGTTACAGTTTTTTCTTCGGCGAAAGATGGTTCATAGAGATTACTTTCTAATATAAGATATTTCATCTTCCTCTTCTTCTTCCAACTCCTCCCCTTCATCCTTCTCTTTCTAAACCACAAAAACCAAATGAAAGAGAAGAGAATAAGGCGGAAAAATTAAATGAAGGAGAAAAATACAGTAAGGGAAAAGGCGGAGGGGGGGAAAGAGATTACAAATAGATTTAAATCTATGACAATTTATTGAGAGGTCAACTACAGAAACCAATCATTCATTCCAGTCTCCTCACGGTTACCTTTCCTTTTGAGCTATATTTCAGCGAGAGTGTAGATTAAAACATGTCAAAATCCCATATAAACATAAAACTGTCTTTTGCATTACAGAAGCCGATAGCAGAACTATTTTAGCAGTGCTAATTTCCTGTAACTTACCCCAGCGAAAATCCGCGTTAACCAGCCAAATATTCTACGTATTTTGAGACAAAAATTATGGTGTGAGTAGTCACCAGTCTCCTCTAACTTTATAGAGACAAACAAATTGAATAGGGAGAACCTGCATGGTGTGTGTTGCCTGATACTTAACAGAATGACAGAAGGCGAGCTGACCGTATACATAAATATCGTTATGTGGATTAAAGCTTACCAGATTCAATATTTTCATCTGCATAATACACTGGTGTCAATGGAACGAGGAGTCGCACTTACTGTGGCTGTCGACTCTTTGTCTTTTTTTATAAGCAGCCTGAGAGTTTTTCGACAAGATGCGCAAATACCTAAGAAAATTAAAGTCAGTTTTTTTTTTAGGAAACGAAGAGAAGTCAGTGGGGTGAAGCCAAGTTTACAAAGAGCAAACTTACCTGAGCCTATTTGAAGAAACACCCAAGTTTTCTTTAGAGTTATATGTGAATCAATTTTCCCGATTCCTCGGTCACATTTCGGCCACTTTTTGCCTCTTCTGTCATGATTGAATAATGCCTATGGCACTTTACACCTCGCAGTAGATCCCCGCCTCCAGCCAACCAAGCCTTTCGCGATATAATGGACAGATGGTCATAAAATTTATGTTTGCAGGTTGTGTAAATACTGCTGCTCGGCTGAGGATAAGGTCAACTTCGTCCTCTGCACCGGAAAATCCTAGGCTTGCTGTATGGTTGGAAATTGGTTTTGAACAGGTCATTAAGGGATAATTTGTGCTTCTTTTGTCCTGTCTCTAGTGTTAAATCCACACATTCCTGTTACGATAGACTTAAAAGAACAGGACACCTCCATATTCACTCATTAACACGCGTCGCAACTCGCTGTGTTTACGAACGTTTATTTAAAACTGTTACAAAGTGACGACTCTACTTCTAGACTACAGACAAATTGTCTCAGTTCGCTCAAAACAAACAAAAACTGACACCTGTTTTTAAATTAATACTGACATTCTTAATTAAATTCATTCGAATAAAAATGATAGGGACGACTTTTTTTTATCATTTTACAAGGTTTCCCCAGGGAAACGCCGCAAAACATTTTTGTGTTTCCTCAGATAATGATTTTTCTACAGTGATCACATTTGTCACTCTTTTGCTTTCTTTTTTTCCTAAACAGGGTTCTGTTTGTCTTCCCTTTTTACTAAGTTGATACCTAATAAAAAACCGCTAAGATCCACAAGTCATTTGTTTCATGTTTCAATTCTGTGGTGGTAGATTTCACTCGAAGCGGTATTTCACAACACCCACCTGATAACATATGTTTTTGACTTGAGGTCTCTTGGTTCCGCTTTGGTTTGCTGTTCAGTTCAAAACTAATGTTTCGGCAAAGAAGACTTAACGACCGGCACTCTAAGACCATTTTTGAGGAAAATGGAGGAAGTGAATACGCACAACAAAAGCCATAAACGTCCGAAGTATGCAAAACAAACAATACCACCGCTATGTAGTGAGAAATGATTTTGCACGATTAGTTCAGCAACCAAACGAGACCCTCAGGAATACAGTTTCCTTTATCATTGATTTGAAGATGAAAAGGTAAGATTCTATACGTTAATGTATCGACTTAATGTTTTCTGGTTAACTTTTTAGGTGCTTCTGTCGAGTGTAATGTGCGTTGCAGTGTCATGTCGCGCGCGGAACAAGTTGAAACGACAGCGCAATTTATCCAACTTTAAAAATCGATTCTTTTGCTCTGAATCATTTCCCCAAAAAATCCTTCAGGGCTCTAAAAGAACAACTCTTTCACTTTTAAACACTAGGTTTTGAACGAATTGCAGTACCACAAGCTTAAATAATAGGTTAATGTTAGATAAGTTTTCTTCTCGATTAAAATAAGTCAATCAAATTAAATTAGATTGTAAAAGTAAATAGTCGATAATTGCTAAAACGGTATTTTTTGACATCTTTCTACAATATGTGGTTGATTTTATTGCCCTTGAGTACTTTATTTTGTAACGCGGGGCGTCGTGCATCGCCCTAAATTTCGTATTAAAAAAAGCGGCGTTTTCACAAAATTTAGTGATTATCGATGTCCTCGAAAACCAATCGATATTTAGCAAAATGAACTATGCAGTGTTTTGTTTTACATTAAGGTCTACCTAACAGGAGATTATGGGCCAAATTGATATTTGAGCTGTTGCCACGAAATTTTAAAAATGTTTGATTTTTGGTAACATTTGCTCCTAATTTCCAAAGAAAATGAAGTTAACAATCCCAAAACAATGAGTAGAAAGTTTTTTCATTCCAAACGCAACTTCACACGCTTGGTGAGCATGATGACTACACCAGGAGTAGTTTAAACATTTGTATTACTCAGTGGTAATAACTTTTTTCATCAACGAGTCAAAAGTTCAATTATCTCTCAAAACCGAACAACTGACTCACGAGTTAGTGAGAAAGTGACACGAATTACCATTTCACCGTTGTTTTTTCTTTTCTTTTTTTTATTACTATTAATATATATATGTTTTGTTTTTGTTTTTTTTTATCAGCTTCCATCCCCCACCCCTATAGCTCTTAAGGTAATTAGTCATATGACAGTTAACATGGATCTTCTGGGTAAGCTTCGCATCTTGTGACCTGAAGTAAAACTTTTTTCTCCGTCTCTCTCCCTCTCTCTCTCTCCCTTTCTCAGTGTTACCGGCTAGCAATATTGAAACCCAGTGTTACTAGGTTGCAATAGAGTGTGAGAGCCGGACGAAAAAATATTTGGCGAACAGACCGAGAATTTCATCAGAGTTAGACTCGGGGACGAGAGCTACGACTTGGAAGGGAAGGGGTGCAGGGGAGAATCTGAATTTGAATTCAATTAACAATTGGTCCATACGTTAGCGTACGTTCATCGAGATATGAAGCACGCGGGAAGTTTGGAGAGCACGAAAGATGCCTAAGAGTTGCTCGAGGCTACGCTTTGAGCAACTCTTACGCATCTTTCGTGCTCTCTAAACTTCCCGCGTGCTTCATATCTCTATGAACGCACGGTGACGTATGAACCAATTGTTAATTTTAATTCTGATCTAAAAATACCTACGGAGGATCATGGTCAAGAGAAACGAAAATCTTAAATTCATACTCCTGAGCGAGACGACGTGGATGCCATTTGATGGTTAATCCATTTCGTCACATTATTAAATAAAACTAATAAACAAGCATGCAAAGCAAAACAAAATAAACAAATAAACAAAATGATAAAAAGTTATAATGATGTTAAAGAAGGAGAGAGATACCACATAAAATCAGTTCGAATGAAAGAAATATTCAAATCAGAATTTCAGGCTTTTCAGCATCTGAAACCAGGATTGTGTGTTATCCATTTTCTGTATTAAAAAATAAAAATAAAAAACTGTTTAGTCCATAGAAAGTATTGCTAGAACAGATGAAAGGAATATTGCCAATGATGCCAATTAACTTGGGAGCCACAGTTTACTCTTTTTTCATCATTTTATTAGCGCCACAGTGATAAAGTACATAAAGTTAAAGACTAGCTTTATACATTATACCAACTTTTCCCAACGATATCAGCAATGAAGCCCTTCTGAAACAAATTTGATATTGAATTCACTAAAAAGGAATTATTGTGCTCGTTAGCAGTGATGCTGATTCTTGCTTTAAATTGAGTGGCATTGCCGCCCACATAATTAAACCATTCCTTAATGTTTTTAATAAGGTTTGCGCAAATGAAACTGAATTAATTTTAAGTCTTACGCTTAATATTTTGGTTTTTGCCTGTATAGTCTTAACTTAAGCTATATCTACACTTTGAAGGTGCGCATAGGGCGTGGTTTTAAAGGCTGTTCATAGCTTTCCTTGTCACTGCACCAAGATGTACCCCATGGCTTCAATGTGTTTTTCTCCATTATCTCCCCCGTGCCTTGCTTGGTTTCCACACGTGTTGAAGTTATTAGGATACCCTCCGGTACCAAATCCAATTCTAGAGTCACAGCTCTTGCAATGGTTTTCTTGGTTGGCAATGATACCAATTCTTGCCTTGGAGGCCCATTTATTAACCATAGCATTGAACCCTTCCAAGTTGCAGTGGGGCTGTAAGGAAGCTTCTGAGCCAATGAGGGTCCTCCATGTGTCACGACCGAGTGATATCTGGCGGTATTGACCGTCAGCGATCAGCGAGTAAAGTGAGCTGGCGCGCTTATTAAAGACAATGAACTTGAGCTGAAAGCCAATCCCCATACCGAGACAGACCTTCGAAAAAGATGTGTTCCAGTAGGATGGAAGCTTGGTCTCTTGTGAGTCAAACCCATTCATACCCCCTTTAAGATTGTAATCAGCTTTGTCTCTCCAGAATGACGAATGATAGTGAAAGGTTTGCTGTAAATATATATAAGTGAAAAGTATAAGTATTAAACAATAAAAACGTGGAAAAAAACACGTAAGTGGCGGTAGACCAATCGCCATCAAATTTTAAATATCAAAAACTTTTTGAATATCAAATTCCTGATAGTTGTTAAAAATGCCAATAGAAAAAGATTCCGTAATATTTACGACACTCACATACGCTGTACTCAACTAAGTTGCTCGTGGGGAGACAAATGAATCGTGCGGGCAGAAATTCGATTTCAAAATTTTCAAGTTTTCAGAGGAAAACTGATTTCAATGTTAAATCACGGATCATTAATAATTCCAAACAAACACTGTTATACAAAATGGAAATGACATTTTTCTAGTACCAAACAATCTTTTAAACGTTAACGTGAAAAAGCCACACCTTATTGCCATTAATCTTCATGATCGGTGTCCATCCTCCATCTCCGCATCCAAAGTCTCCCATGTGACAGAAAACAGAAATTGGTTTTGAGTCTAAGTGCAGGATAACCTCGCCACTCTTTTTCGATCTACTAAATAAAGAATCTTCTTAAATGGAGAGATTGAGTTGAAACTTGATGAGGGCTATGGCTTCCATATATTTAGTAAATGACACAAAGTACTTTTCGATGAGGCGGAAGTTTTCAAGATGGAAGCTAGAGTGCAAGTTGATATCAATGTTGCTATGCTTAGCGCAATATCATTTTCAGAATTATCGTTATTAGTAGTACGCTTATTCTCATATTCTCTCATCAAATTCCGCGCCGGCTTTGTTCTTAGGGAATAATTGACTTACACATTCTTGTCGAAAATTTCCTTACACGTCGAAGCTGAAAAAAGAAAATGGATATCAACAGCAATAAACCCTTTAAGAAAGAAAGATGGGATGGAGTTTTGAAACGCTCTCAAAGAGAAAATTTACGAGTGGAATAGAAATACATAACGTTCTTGGTCACTCGTGTAAGCAGCATCCCAAACCCCTCTGCGGCCTCGCCGTTTTTACCCAAGCCGCTTGACGCTTCAAATATACACCATAATACTGCTATCTACGCAGGCAAGCGTCTTCACGTCCATCAAGTAGTTAACTTGTTTTTAGTTTGAATTCTCAGTAGTTTTTAACAAGGCTATTATCAAAGTTTCTATCGATTTACTATATCTCTATATCTCGATATACATAGTTATTATAGACGAACGTCTTATTACAGTAGTTCAAACAGAAAGAAACAGTACAAAAACTAGCTTAAAAAAACACAGCAGGAGAAATGTTACCCGAACGGCAGATATTTCCATCCCCATAGTATCCCTGTTTGCATGTGCAATTGTACGATCCCTTAGTATTGTTACACACAGCATCAGCACTGCAGTTCGTTTTTCCTATAGCACACTCGTCGATATCTGAAAAGACTCTCCTTTAATTAGAACGTCAACGCTGCAATTAATTTTAAAACTAATGCAGATTTAAAACTTAAGTGTAAACAACAAATGCAGGCCCAACTTGGATCTAATGTCTCGAGAGTCTTGCAAATTTTCCGGTAGTTCTCTTGGCCAGCAGCTCTCTAGCGAAGGGTCTGCATGGTTATTGGGTGAGTTTATAAAAAAAAACCAAACCTTAACTTCTACAGGTCCCTTTAGAAGTTGTGTATAAAACTGTAGTGAACACGAGCTTACGACCGGTTTGACATGACAGGGGTTACCTTTCTTACACCTTGGACCTTTGAATCCAGTGGTACACAAACAGCGATATCCTTGGTCAGTAAAACCGCTTTGACAAGTAGAATTGTTATCGCAAGGGTTATCAACACAAGCGCTCTGAAGGGGAAATAATATCATACTTTGAAATATTAATAAAATGGAAAATGAGCATCATTTAAACCAACAATGATGATTAATGCTAAAGATAGAAATATTGACAGTGATATTTGAGTTCAAGCAACAATTGCAACGATTATGACCGGAAACTAGTTTTTTCTTTGACTTGAAATGAGTATTTGCTAATGATGCAACACTTACCTCAGCTGCATGATAAAAATAATCGTCTTTCTTCTCCAGGTCGTGTTCGTGTCTTTCGTGAGTAACATTATTCAGTTCACATTTGTAGCGTCCATGACTACTCACTCCTTTATTAACATTAATGCTGACACAGTCAGGTTCCATATAACACATGTTGTCACAAAAACTCATTGTCAGAACTTCAACGATGCGAATGACGTGGTTTATGAGACGTTTCCCGTCAAATGCTTTTTCAGGGGTGAACTCCAACACGCGGCATTGGTCTGCGTCACAAAAGCCTTTAAGATTGATAAAAAAAAACACGAAAGAAGGAAAACACTAGTAAAAGAGATGGCCATAAGGGACGTCAAAATGATGATAACAATTGAGGATTTACTGATAGTTTCTCCGTTGGAATGTATTCATTTAAATTCATCCATCCATTTGCTTCCCTTTTTTATCATCTATTTTAGTTTCTAGATGAATACCTTTCTAGATAAATTACAAACAATTATCCGTACTGACATCCGCAGGAAACTTACAGATGGCAATTAATTTCCACAAAAAATGCACATATTTAAGTAAATAGATTTTCCATTCGAAAATTCCCCAAAAATAAAAAAAAGTAAATTTTCTCAGTAAAGACAAAGTTCGCAGGTTTGAATTTGTAAAGTGGACTGAATCGTTGAAGAAATCCATGAATGAGCCGGATCAAACGTTTGCAAAGAGCTTGTCATTGCAGAAGATCTTTATTGCAAAACGTCTTCTACCTCCGAATAAATTATTCCTTTAAAGCTACATATCTAGCAGGAATCGCAAATTTCTCGATATACTCCCTGACGTTGAGAGTTATTTATTGGTCAGGAGAAAGATTAGATCACAACTGGGGCAAAAATCCAACTTTATCAGCGCAATAAACACAAAGGCACCTCCAGCCGACACAACTAAGAAGACTGAGCGGCATAACAAAAGACTAAGAAGACAATAAAATTTACGAGTGTGAACTTTTTACATGTTCGAATACAAAATACAAAAAAAATTAATAAATTGATAAAGAAGTGATAGAGAGGTAGGAAATATTACAATATATCAACTTGGATGACGAGCTCGATAAAAAAAGAATTAATTAAGAAAAAACCCACGACAAAACAAAAAGGAGAAAAGAAAACTATTCGCAATTAAATTCACATAAAGGTACTCAAACAAACTATCTGCGCAAGTATCTTTTCATCACCAGTAAATTATTTGGTTAAGAAGTTTAAGAAAGTGTTAAGCTATCTTTAAACATTTTTGCTATTGTGGAGATGAATAACAAAACTTCCTTTAAACATATAACATGCAGGTGTTAAACGGTTACTATGATTATGAAGGACTAATGTCCCTTCTCTATTCCCGATCATAAATGAGTAATGGTGAGGCTAACCTTGTGATGAGGCATAAGCAAGTATCATGAAGAACAAAAGTAACAGAAAAAAGATAAAAATCGACTTCTTCATCGCGCGGATCGCCAGGTTTCCGCGACTGACTTCTGGAATTATGCGCAAATTGATGCGGCATGAAAATATTGTCCATGCTGTTCTCTATACATTTCCTAAAGTGCTGACAAGGAGAATTTGTTTAACAATCAAGAGCTTCTTTAGTTGGTGATTATTTCCTTTATTCTCATGACCTTGATGTGTGATACAGGGGTGATATCGTGAGGAGAAATTAGATACTAATCACTCTAAGGGGTTAAAGGGTTAAGCTTCAAGCATTTACCCTTCAACAAAGTTGTCTAAGTTCTGAGATTTTCAACTTTTCATTCTAACATGGAAAACAAATCCATCTTTCCTGAAGATAAAATTTCTTAACCAAAATACCAAAAGAAAAAGTAAACTGGTTCTCTGAATTAATTAACACTTTGCACCCAAACGTAAATACTCATGTTCTCCAAACTTTTCTGTTTACATTTCCTATGGAGATGTCGGGGAAAATTTATCAATTAAGGTTTTCTTTAGTTGTTTGTTACAATGTTTGATTCAGGGGTAATAATTTTAGGAGAAATGTTGTTTGTCACTCTTAGCGGCAAAGGGTTTAGTGTATTAATCGGTTGAAGCCTATTTAAATCTACATTTCAGTGTTTTTAAGAGTAAATTCGGTTTGTATCTTTTTTGTATGATCTCCTTTCCAAGTATCTGAGAGTCTCGCTCCATTCTAAGTTCGCTCCGCTACTAACATTCCGATTTCAGACAGATCTTGGAATTTTCTGCAAACAGCATACAACAATGTCCATCCAAATAAAAATCAGAATAATGTAGCGGCCTAGTATCGCTATCCTGCTCCAAGCGTTCTGCCAGTAAAACGAAGTGTTATACTAAGTCTCAGTGCGGTAGCAGAGGAGCGAAAAAAATATGAGGGGGTTTTTGGGTCGATTGCGTAATGACCCGACCCGACCCAAGCCTCCCCCGCTACTATAGCGCCGCTTGTTATCTCCAACATGATCTCGACACCAAAATAACGATCATGTTGGTTATTTCGCTCGGTTTTACCAACTGAAGGCCTGGAACTGGCTAAGCATGACTCATGCGGTAGTCGTACATTAAGTAACACGCCTAAGAATTTTCAGGTTGATCAACACTTTTATCGAGATAACTCAATTGTAAACTAATTATTTCAAATATGTTAATTTAGCGGTTAAATACGGTTCAACCAGCAAAAATAAAATTGTTATATATGTGTAAATTCTGATGAATCATATTGTAAAAAACGGAAGACTACATCAAAACCTTCAACACCATCATCATTATCATTTCGGTTTTTAATTGCTGTTAAATCAAATAAATGTTGCAAAAGAGAGCTTAAACGGTTCAACCATTTCAAAGTCATTTTACTGAAAAAATTTATTTTACGGGTAGTGTTTGATTGACAGTTACTATTATTGTAATACGAATCTGTAGTCATCAGCCCGCGTTTATTAAGATGGAGCCCTCTGTGATCCAAAGGCTGTATCAAGCCAACACTTCTAGAGGTGAAATTAGAAGATCCTCGCAGCTAAGAACACTACTGAAACTAGTAGTTGTAAGTAGGACCTGAAAAAAAATTTCAGGCCCGTACGGGATTTGAACCCATGACCTCTGCGATACCGGTGCAGCGCTCTACCAATTGAGCTAACAAGCCAACTGGGAGCTGGTCAATGAATTGGGTACAAATAAACATCCGAGTGAATGAAGATTTAGATATATGAAAATTCACATATTTGCACTGCGGTGGAAAGATGAAATTAGAAGATCCTCGCAGCTAAGAACACTACTGAAACTAGTAGTTGTAAGTAGGACCTGAAAAAAAAATTTCAGGCCCGTACGGGATTTGAACCCATGACCTCTGCAATACCGGTGCAGCGCTCTACCAATTGAGCTAACAAGCCAACTGGGAGCTGGTCAATGAATTGGGTACAAATAAACATCCGAGTGAATGAAGATTTAGATATATGAAAATTCACATATTTGCACTGCGGTGGAAAGATGAAATTAGAAGATCCTCGCAGCTAAGAACACTACTGAAACTAGTAGTTGTAAGTAGGACCTGAAAAAAATTTCAGGCCCGTACGGGATTTGAACCCATGACCTCTGCGATACCGGTGCAGCGCTCTACCAATTGAGCTAACAAGCCAACTGGGAGCTGGTCAATGAATTGGGTACAAATAAACATCCGGCTTGTTAGCTCAATTGGTAGAGCGCTGCACCGGTATCGCAGAGGTCATGGGTTCAAATCCCGTACGGGCCCGTTAGCGCCCGTGGGCTCCTAGTTACTTTGAACCGGCGACATTTTTCATGTTTTTCTCTAGAGCAGCCGACTAGATGCGCGAGGTGAGCATAAAGAACAACACGAACGGTAAAAAAAAAAAAAAAACATTAAGGAAGTCACATTTTCCGTGCTCCTTCTTTTCTATGTTACGCTCACTCTTAACGACGTGGACGTATCATAAACATCGAATATGGCCTCTTTGCCAATATTTACTTCGTTAACAAAACCTGAATTTTTGCGCAATTGACATGCTTTGAATTTCATTGAAAAAATTATACTAGAGACAAAGCTAACCAGAGAAGAATATAAGGTTAAACTCATTGCTTTATTAGCCTTTAAGGTTTTAGGACACTACATTTTCTTCTTCATTATGGCTTCTCGGCTTAAAATTTGGGAAGTTAACTGTGTCCCCTGTCACTGTACCAGGATGTAATCCATAGCTTTGATGTGCTTGTGTCCACTATCTGGCGAGTGCATTGCCTCATTTCTACACGTGTTAGAATCATCAAATAGACCTCCTGTGCCAAAACCAATTCGGGAGTCACAGGAACCACAGTGATTCTGCTGGTTAGCAGTGATGCCGATTCTTGCTTTGGAATGACGAGGGTTGCTTCCCACTGCATTGAATCCTTCCTTATTGCAGTTGGGCTGCAGGGAGGCCCGGGAACCAATCAGCCACTTCCACGTGTTACGACCCAATGAGGTGGCGCGGTATTTCCCATCAGCGATCAGTGAGTTGGCGTGCCTGTTGATGACAATGAACCTGAGCTGATGACCAATCTTCATACCGAGGCAGATCTTGGAGAAGGGTGTGCTCCAGTAGGTTGGTAACTTGGTCTCTTGTGAGTCAAAGCCAGTCTTGCCTCCAGCAAAGTTATAACCATTTCTGTTGCTCCAGAAATGGGAATCGTAATGGAAAGTTCTCTGAAAGACAAGAATTACATCTTTGATTTGCCTGTGTTCAATTCAGTGATATCGAGAGTTTCTTAAAGGAGGCAGGGAATTAACCTGGGTGCCATCAATCTTCATGGCCAGCGTCCATCCTCCATCCCCACATCCAAAGTTTCCCATGTGACAGAAAACAGGAATCTTTTGTGAACCAAACATTAGCGGGTATACTTGGCTTCATCTCGACCTTATGTAAAAAGAGGAAGTCAAAAAAATTGAGTCAGCCTGTATGCATGTCCTCATATCTACCGCAATGGAATGTGTATACGCATCAAGTAAGTGATTTGGAATCTTGCAATTAAAACAGATTGCTCTACACTTACTTTCCCGTGTCGAACTGTTCCTTGCAAGAGGAGAAGTGACCGGCTGTGAGACAAATAAGACCGCCATTTTAAGATCTGAGCGTGTTGAGAATACTTAAAATATGAAAACATTAAATACCATATCCCAATACCATCGAAAATGTACCTGAAGGCTTTCGAGGCAAAGCGTCCTTAACCAGCGCAATAAGATTGTCCACTTTCGTTTCAAGCGTCTTAATAGCGGAACATGAATGTTGTCTGGCGTCGCTTAAAACAGGGAACACCGCAAGGATATTTGCGATGAAATGAACTGCAAATAGCAAGCGCATTTTGAGAATTGATTGACTTTGGAAAATATTTTCTGTGCTGCTCAACCTGTGAATAACTGATTATGATGATTTTGCTTCGTAATTGTAAGTTATCATCGTCAAACACAACTCGAATTTTCTTTCTCGCACCCAGCGACATCTAGAAGACAAGTTCCAAGTTGAAGATTATTTTTAACTTAATTCACTGAGCTTTGAAATGGACTTTGAAAATCTGCTCACAATAGAGCTGTCTATCTGATGAAAAATCGTTGAACGGCCGATTTGTGAGCGGTGATAATGCAATTTAATAAATTCAAACTAATTTTCTGTTTATCTTAACGAATTGACTACATGATTTTTGCATGCATGCATGCCCACATATTCAACGAAGACACTGATTGTTTTGTCTTTGGTCCATATATTTTGATATAAATGAGTAAAACGGTAAAGACGGTGATGGGCTTATCGAGGGCTGTGCTTTTGGCAACCGGAATGCTACATTCACTAGTTTCCCCTATTCCCGGTCAATGAATAAAGTGAGATATTGCCAGTTAACAGAGTCGTATAAAGACATAAGGTGGCTAGGTTTCCAGGGATACTGGGGTTTTGCGTCGGTGGGATATTACACGATAGTTTGGTTCTTTCAGCTAAGTTGATAATCTAATTTGGCAACTGTAAACATCATCTAAAGTTAATATTTCGATTGTTAGCCCTTGTTCAGAGCGAAAGCTCGAAAGCTCTGATCAAGGGCTACGCTCGAACATTTTCAACTCAGTAAACAAAACCAAATTATCTCGTATAAATTAAAGCTTTACACAAAATCAAAAAGATATCAGATCACTCTATGTTGACATTCTGCCTTGGTTCAACATAAAACATTTGTTGGGCTAATACAGATTTAAAACGGGAAACTGAAACCTTAATTCCGGGACCAACTTGAGGACCAGCTTCAACCCCCTCAGTCCTTATAAACTTAATTTACAAATTTTGATAATACAAACTTAGGCAGCATCTAAATAAAGTGACCGGGGCTTTTTAACATGACTATAACTTCTGTTCATTTACAGCCTTTTTGGCCTTCAATACTTCGTTTGTGGATCGTGCTGCTCGATAAGCGTTACAGTTGCTTTCCATGTTTGAAACAACTTGTGGGAGATCATTTGTCTGTCATGACTGTCTGCACTCTCAAAGCACAATAAAATAATTCTGTTGTCGAAGAATGCCAGTTTTAACACAGGATAGTAATTTACCCCTGGAACAAGGTTGCCCCAAACTCTGAAGATTTTTTAACTTTTTACTCTAACATAAGAAACAAATTCTCCTTCCCTGAAAATTAAATCTGTTCAAGATTAGGCCAGAGCACAGAAAGAACACGTAAACAGTTTCTCTGAATCCATTAAGTGAAATGTCAATCAAATAAGTGTTTCCTACTTGAAACCGATTGAAAGTGTTTCAAGGTGTTTCGGAGTAAATTCAGTTTACATCCGATTTTGCTAATTGAGTGGTCTCCTTTTCGCGTATCTGGAGGTTTCGCCCCACTACTACCGGTAACCTTCCGAGTTCAGGCAGACCTTGGAATTTGATGCAAACAGCATAAGTTATAGTAGTGTCAAAGCAGATAAAGATCAGAATTATGTAGCGGCCTAGCATCACCATCCTGTTTCAGGCGTTCTGTCAGGAATACGAGGGAGATTTTGGGTCGAGTGCGTGATGACCCGACCCAAGCTTCCCTCGCTCCTATAGCGCCGTTTGCCATTTCGCTCGGTTTTACTGACTAAAGGCCTGGAACTGGCTAAGTATGACTCATGCGGTAGTCGTGCGTCAAGTAACACGCCTAAGAATTTGCAGGCACATCAACACTTTTATTGAGATTACTCAATTGTGAATAAATTATTTCAAATATGTTAATTTTACAGTTAAATACGGTTCAACCAGCAAGAATAAAGTTGTTGTACAAGTATAAATTCTGATGAAAACTTTCCGCATCATCATCATTATCATTTCGGTTTTAATTGCTGTTAAATTAAATAAATGTTGCAAAAGAGAGCTTAAACGGTTCAATCATTTCAAAGCCATTTTACGTACAAAATTTATTTTGTGGTCAGCACCCCGCGTTTATTAAGATTGAACCCTCTGTGATCCAAAGGCTGCATCAAGCCAACACTTCCAGAGGTTTTATTATACATTCGATTGCAGTCGTAATCAAAAGAGCAGAGCGATATGATCGGGTGAAAATCAAAACAAAGAAACGGAAGAAAAATATCGTTATCTCTCACAACTCCGTCGCTTAGGTTCTAGTGAAATCCTATCGAATTGTCGGAGTCGTAACCGGGAGACTGTTAGGAAGGGCCTGAGAACTGCCATTGGAGTTTACCCCAGATAGGAAAGGAAAGAAAGAGTAATAGTTTTCAATCATGCTTTCATAATATATCGATTGATTAATTGAAAATTTTCCAGATAAGTTTGTTCATTTAATTGCTACAGTTCCCAAAAGACTGAAGAAAGGCAAAAAATGGTTGTACGGGATCTAATAGGTTGTGATAGATAAAATTACCATCCTTTTGAAACAAGGTCATGAAATTGCCAAATTTGGTGGCCTGCCGAGGATAAGGATACCAATGGTTAACTTTCATCATGCTAGTTTTATGATGAAATAGTGCAATTTTGGATTTTTCAGCACACGTGTGCGTCTGCAAAAAAGAGACAACTGACACCATCCCATGAACAGTTTGGCTTAAGAGTGGTGTTGGTGTAACTTTTGTTTCCCTAGAATCATAAAATCCGAAAATCGCGAGCTAAACGTGTAATTACAGACAGAAAAAGATAGTTTTGTATGGCATTCTTCTTCATCGTTTTTTTTAAATGTCCGTTACTTCCTGATTTTATCTCTTCCCCATGATCTGAACTTTAAACCAATCAGGACTGATTTATGCGGCTCGAGTAGAAAAGCCAGTGACATCACGAGATGAGATCGTACAGATCTTTTAGGCCAATTTTTCGAATTTAACAGAAGATATGTGAAATTGTGGTTTAGGACGTCATGACCTCGGGAAATATCCCGGCAAGAGCTCCGTTCGAATGGTGAGCTAATAATCATCTTGTTAATATGTACGTTCATATTTAACACAAAGACTGACGTCTCGAACAAATAATACATAAAAATTCTGTCATTCTGGTGAAAGCGAGAAAGGTAAGCAATACTTCGGGAAGGTATTACTTTTGTATTCTGTTAATTCTCATATCTGAGCTAATTATTTTCTATAAAAATCGTTAACGCCCGTGGGCTCGTAGTTACTTTGAACCGGCGACATTTTTCATGTTTTTCGCTAAAGCAGAAAGATGCGCGAGGTGAGCGTAAAGAACAACACGAGCGATTAAAAAAAAAAAAAAAAATGGAAGTCACATTTTCTGTGCTTCTTCTTTTCTGTGTTACACTCCCTTGATTCGCTCACCGCTCACTCTTAATGACATGGACGTATTACAAACATCGAATATGGCTTCTTTGCCAATATTTACTTCGTAAAAAAATCCTGAATTAGCCTTGCGCAAATATAATGCTTTGAATTTCATTAAAAAAATTATACTAGAGACAAAGCTAACCAGCGGAGAATATAAAGTTAAACCCATTGCTTTATTAGCCTTTAAGCTTTAGGACACGACATTTTCTTCTTCATGATGGCTTCTCGGCTCAAAATTTGGGAAGTTAACTGTGTCCCCTGTCACTGTACCAGGATGTAACCCATGGCTTTGATGTGCTTGTGTCCATTATCTGGCGAGTACGTTGCCTCATTTCCACAAGTGTTAGAATCATTAAATAGACCTGCGGTGCCAAAACCAATTCGGGAGTTACAGGAACCACAGTGATTCTGCTGGTTAGCAGTGATGCCGATTCTTGCTTTGGAATAACGAGGGTTGCTTCCCACTGCATTGAATCCTTCCTTACTGCAGTTGCGCTGCAGGGAGGCCCGGGAACCAATCAGCCACTTCCACGTGTTACGACCCAATGAGGTGGCACGGTATTTCCCATCAGCGATCAGTGAGAACAGTGAGTTGGCGTGCCTGTTGATGACAATGAACCTGAGCTGATGACCAATCTTCATACCGAGGCAGATCTTGGAGAAGGGTGTGCTCCAGTAGGTTGGTAACTTGGTCTCTTGTGAGTCAAAGCCAGTCTTGCCTCCAGCAAAGTTATAACCATTTCTGTTGCTCCAGAATTGGGAATCGTAATGGAAAGTTCTCTGAAAGACAAGAATTACTTTTTTGATTTGCCTATGTTCATTTCAATAATATCAAGAGTTTCGCAAAGGAGACAGGGAGTTAACCTGCGTGCCGGCAATCTTCATGGCCAGCGTCCATCCTCCATCCCCACATCCAGAATTATTCATGTGACAGAAAACAGGAATCGTTTGTGAACCAAACATCAGCGGGTATACTTGGCTTCGTTGCGATCTAAAAAAAAAGAGGAATTAAAAACAATTGAATCAACCTATGGGTAGCCATTTGTGCCAAAATATCCATCACTAGTAACAAACTCAATTGTTAGTGCTAAAATATCAATCTCTAGTGATAAACTCAATTGTTCGTGCTAAAATATCAATCGCTAGTGATAAAACTCAATCGTTAGTGCTAGAATCGATTTGTCATCGATTTTAACTTGAACCAGTCTCCCGCTTGTTAAGCAAAGATGAATCCATCAAATCTTGCTTACTTTCTTGAAATCTGATAAGGGATAGAGAGACCAGCACGGACTCCCCATGTGGCTTTTGTAGTCGCGTCCCATAATCGCCTTCAAATTATGTTTTTACTTTCACAAGCGTGTCCTTAAGGGATGCTCCCTTTTTTTAAGAGATGATTGGATGTTTTGAAAACCTCTTTTCAGCAAGAGCTGATTGCGTATTAGACTCCAATGCTTCATCAGTATTTGTAGTATTTGTAAGTTTTTAACTGCCAGGTGGTACGTTGTGGCAAAACACATTTAAGTGGTGGAGGGGGGGGGGGGGAAGGGGGGTCAAAGTCTCCCGCTTCCCCTACAACGTTCTCCTGCCTCCCGTACTTTTATGCCCTTTTATCTCCCGACTCTCATCCTTCATTGTGTTGCTCCCGTCTTCAGGTTAATCAAGAAGATCAAAAACCCGGGTTTGATTTTTAAACTGTGCCAAAACTTACCATTCTTGTTGATTTTCTGGCCTTTGGTGGATATTAAATGGAAATTTCAAAACTTTAATATACGAGTGTTTTTGACTAAATAATACCCAATAATACACAACAAACTATCGCTATCTTTATTTCTTCTCCCGCTTCCCGCCCTCATATAGCTCCCGCTTCCCGCCCCCTGTTCTCCCGCTTCCTGCCCTCTCCCGCCCCCCTGTCGCCCTCCGCAATATACGTTAGTGACCTTTCAGCTTTTGTGTATGTGCAAGAAACGATTGTCTAGAGGCAAAGCTGACCCCTGACAGAGACCATTCTATGATATTTTCTGGGTACCCTCTTGCTTTGAGGCGTTGTTTAAATTTCAAAAGGTGCTTCTCAAATGTTTCTTTTGAAGAATTAGTTCCAGGCCATGTTATTGTTTCGCCTTTCTTGATACCATATTCTACGTCTGGTCGGTGGCACGAGGCAAAGTGCGCAAATTAAAAAAGGTCTCGGCCAGCGAGAGAAAGAGAAAACAAAACGTCATCTATACAACATTTCCATTCTCTATGCTTAGTTTCGCTTTGTTGGATTAATTTCGTTTCAGTTAACGCCATGAAAATATTAGCAAATGACACTGCCATTTTCGTACTTATAACACTGCCATTTTCGTACCTATAGCAATGCCATGTGTTTCGAGGAAGTTCTCCTCATTGAATTAAACCGAATTTTCTCTAAGTATTAAGCCAAACATTTCCCTGAGGTAGTGCGTTGGGATCGGTGCGTTATGGTTGTGGAACTTTTCGTATGCTTCACACACTATGTTCGTTCCGTCTTCTTGAGGTATAATTGTTTACAGGCTAGAAAAATCCATTGATACTAGAATTGTTAAATCTTTCCGTTAGGATTTTTCCTTATACCCAATGTCACGCGACCAGTTTTCCATACTTGGGTTTGACCAGGTGGTTGAAGTTTTTGGCAGATCTTGTCTAATTAATATTGTCTTGTTTTCTGGACCTTGGACTAATAAATCAAAGCTGGCGACGAGAATGGGATCTTTTTTTGGCCAAGCACAAGCGGTAAACACGAATCACGTCTGAAGTTGACGAAGGCACGGCAGGAAATGCCGAACGAAGCGTCGAACGTCAACACGAGTCAAGCCATCGGAAAAGTGACAAAGTAGGTTGTGGAAGTGGACTGGGAGTTATACACCGAACATTTGGGTTTTTATTTTGTCCTGTATCGACAGTGAATTCCTTTGCAGATAAATTGCTACCTTATTGCGACTAGTCTTCATGATCGGCGTCCGTCCTTCATTTCCGCATCCAAATGAATCAGGCGAAAGTTTTCAAGATGGAAGCTAGTGTGCAAGTTTATTATAAAGGTTTCTATGCTTAGCGCAGTATCATTTTCAGAATTTTCATTATTAGTACTACTGTTATTTTCATATTCTCTCATTAAATTCCGCGCTAGCTTTGTTCTTAGTGAATAATTGACTTACACATTCCGGTCGAAAATTTCCTTACACGTCGAAGCTGAAAAAAAGGAAAGGCATATCAACAGCAATAAACCCTTAAAAAAAAGATGGAATGGAGGTTTAAAATGGTCTCAAAGGGAAAATTTACGTGTGGAATAGGAAATACATAACGTTCTTGGTCACTCGTGTTTTCGTAACTTGCATCGTTAGCGGTGTCTAATGCGCTAGATAAGAATAAAAGCAGCGGAGCCGAGAATTTAAGCAGCATCCCAAACCCCTCGCGGCCTCGCCGTTTTTACTCCAGCCGCTCGACGCTTTAAATACACACCATGAGACTGCTATCTACGCAGGCAAGCATTTTCAAGTCCATCAATAAGTTAGCTTGTTTTTAGTTTGAATTCTCAATAATTTCTAACGAGGCATTTATCGAAGTTTTTATCGATTTACTATATATCTATATCTCGATATAAATAATTATTATAAACGAAATTCTCGTTGCAGTGTCTAAACAGACAAAAACAGTGCAAAGACTAGATTAAAAAATACAGCAGGAGAAATGTTAACCAAACGGCAGATATTTCCATCTCCATAGTATCCTTTTTTGCATGTACAGTTGTACGATCCCTTAGTATTGTTGCACACAGCATCAGCACTGCAGTTGGTTTTTCCTGTAGCACACTCGTCGATATCTAAAAAGACTCTCCTTTAATTAGAACATCATCACTGCTATTTATTTTAAAACTGATGCAGTTTTAAAAATAAAGTGTAGACAGCAACTGGAGACCCCAGTTGGATTCGATGTCTTAAAATTCTTGCAATTTTTCTGCAGTTCTCTTGGCCGTGCAAGAGTAACTCATCCCATTTGGGTATGGATAATTGAGCAACAGAAGTTGTCCGTCTTTCAAATTCACTATTTTTATAAAGTACATTACTTTTAAAAATACAAAATTGTCCGCCTAGTTTCTAGATGAATACCTTTCTAGATAAATTACAGACAATTATTCGTACTGCCATCTGCAGGAAACTTGCAGGTGGCAGTTAATTTCCACAAAAAATGCACATATTTAAACTAGTTATAGTTCTCACTAGAGCTGCCCCCGCCCTACAGTACCATCATCAATCAAATCAAAAATCGAAATCGAGATTTTTTTTGGTTACGATCAAACGAAAACACCTACATTCTCTCTTCTCCAGTCTTCCTCTATACTAGGACAAATCTCGTGTCAAAGACGCCGATCATAAAAGTCCTCGCGCGCGTGTCTTTTTACTGGCAGCCCATGACCATTTGCGGGAAAAACGTTGATACCTTGCGGCCGTGCAAGCGATCAAATCGAGATTTTTTCTGGTTATGATCTACCGAAAATACCCACATTCCCTCTTCTCCAGTCTTCCTCTATATTGCGCGGGGAGTCCTAAGGTGCCTCCTCGGGTTTTTGGCCCTCTGGGGTCAAAAACCTGCAGGGGCAATAAGAAGATTTTCCATTCGAAAATTCCCCAAAAATAAAAAGAAGTAAATTTTCTCAGTAAAAACGAAGTTCGCTGGTTTTAATTTGTAAAGTGGACTGAATCGTTGAAGAAATCCATGAATGAACCAGATCAATGAACAAAGAATGTTTGCAAAGGGTTTGTCATTACAGAAGATCTTTATTACAAAATCTTTATTGTCTTCTTCTTCCGAATATATTATTCCTCAAAAGCTACATATCTAGCAGGAATCGCAAATTTCTCGATATTCCCTGACGTTGAGAGTTATTTCATGGAGAAAAATTTAGCCACGACTGAGGCAAAAATCTAACTTTACGAGCGCAATAAACACAAAAACCATTCCAGCTGACACAAATAAGCGGCATAACAAAAGAAGACTAGGCAGATAATATAATTTACGAGTGTAAACTTTTCACATGTTCGAATACAAAATACAAACAAATTAATAAATTG